AAGTCAATGGGGAGAGAGATTATCTTTCGATCCCGTTTGAATTGTGCCACGAATTACACATATGATGTTTGTCAATCTTAAGAAATAATTTCCATGTCAAAAAAGTCACAGTTTTTCGTAAAACTGTTGAAATATAAGAATCCCGGTCCGCATGCTGGCTCTTACGGAACCGACTAATTCCCCTTGTGTGTATGTACAGCTCTCAACATGCCCACACTTGTAGTGATTTTCACCTCTTTTAATACTTTCCGCCTCATTCTGAAAGAAAGAAGTGAAATGTGCCAACGTGACGGCCGTCTTGGTGTGTGGTGCGAGACGGGAGATGTAGTTCATTGAGCGGTTTCACAAAAAAAAAGTGTTACTCCCGGAAAGGGAGGGACTTCGCCTCTCTATTGAATAACAGTAGATCTATTGACATATTTATACTATACTTGCACTTATTCCATTTTATCTTGTTTTTATCTTATTCGTCTGGCTCAATAATGGCCGTTTATAAATATTATTTTTATGATGTTATTTGCTTTGCTTTATTATTATTCTTTTATTAAACTCACCTTGCCTTTGTGTTGGTCTTTCGTGTATTTGTTCCTGAATGTTATGTTTTTTGAATGCCCCCTTTGGAAGAGTCATTGTAAATGAGTTGATTTGGCTTCACATGCTGTGGTGTTGGACATTGGATCGCTACCAACTCTCATGCCTCCCAACGGAGCTCTCGTTCTAGCTCATCTTGCGCTCATCTGACTCGGAACCAGTTTTTCTTTTCAGCCCCCGTTTTGTTCACACCGCCGAGAGCCCGAGTGGTGCTGAGTCATCGTGTCATCGCTTGCGTCTTGACGTAACTGTTTACGTGCCTGCTTCATAAAGCCAAACCGCCGCGCGGAACCCCTCACATCTACAACAACATTGGCCGATTGTATTGAAGCGCTGCTCGTTTTGGTTTTGCTTTGTCGAAACCAAATGGAAATAATAGGACGATAGACTGTTTAAGTTTTATCGTTGTGTAAAAACTGGACAAAACGTGGGCTTTTTGTTGTTGTTCAGGAGGTTGATCCCGCCCCTGCCCCCGACGTAATCGTGACGTATGCGGTTCTTTCTTTTAGACGGACAATTTTTTCGAGCTTGGTAAGAACCGGTTTTCGGGGGACTGAGCCGGCTCCGCTGCGGTGTGAACAGGAAGAACCGGTGCTTATCAGGCTCTAGCTCCGAACCGGCCCTGGAACCGTGTTGGTGTGAAAGGGAAATAATAGATGTATCTTTGAGTTGAACTGGCTCCTGTTGTCTGTTATCCATACAGATTATAACTCACCCCACCATTCATTCCCTCCTACTGAGCCGCTCTACCAACCTCCACAGATTGGAACTCAGCCCACCATTCATTCCCTCCTACGGAGTCGCTCTACCAACCGGCACAGATTGGAACTCAGCCCACCATTCATTCCCTCCTATGGAGTCGCTCTACCAACCTGCACAGCGATGTGAGTGCCGTTGGAGGTGGCCAGTAACGTGACAGGATGAATGTCTTCATGCTCCTGACTGTATCCCGACTCCTCCACCGTCTGGAACGCCGCCATGTCCGGAGTCATGATGGCCACCTGAGGGCGACAGAGAGACGTTCACTAATCGATCCTCTGCTTTAGTGTTGGGTTAGAAACTAACAGCTGTATGACCACATCTGGTAATCTATTTAAACAATTTGTAACATGCATTTTACAATCAAATAATCTGAGGGGAATTTCTTGTTGTTTGTTTTTAACTTGTGATGTGTCATTTTGTAAAGCACTTTGAGCGTCATGTGTTGTATGAAGCTTTATTATGATTATTATAATTATTTTCTAGAGCAAGTGACTTTGTTGTATTGAGGAGATTAGGATTAGCAAAATGATTGTTATGTAGAAAGACAAATTAGGTGTAGATTAATGGTGTAAATAACAATTAATGTGTTTGTCTCATAAAGAATAGCAACCGTGTAGAAAGTTATGTGAAGTCAAATGTTATGTTCTTGTTTTCTTTTTTGAGGCAAGTAAAATTGATACTAAGGTTGTCTTTTGGACATTAGCTAGGTACATTGTACTTGTCCTCCATGATATATTTGGCTGGATGACTATAACTTGAGTTGTGCTTTAGGAGGATGACTTTTTATTTTGAAGATTTTATTTGCAAAGCTTGAAAGAAAAGGGGAGACTACTTGGTTTTTGATCAAGTGGTAAAATAACCGGTAATTCTCTAATAAAATAAATGTCAGTGTCAAATGTTTTATTGGTGTCTGGTGAACCCATGAGAGTTAGGCACTTCATATTCATGTTACAAAATAAAAAAATCAATGAATTAAAATCAATTTGTAGCAATCATGGAGGTCCAGCAGTGAATGTGAATCATCATGAGGTGAATATCTAACAGAAAGTCTTTGGTAACGTTTTTTAGAAGTAAACATGTCTGGCTCATTTCAGATAATTAAAAAGAAAACAAATATATATAATTATTTATAACATTTTGTTTTTCCATTCTAACAATATTTTTGCACTAATTTACCTGTTCCTCCGAGCCGTCTGTCGTCACCATGGTAACCGAGTGAGCACCTTGCGTCGTCAGTTCGTGTGCCGGGATGGTAATGGTGGTGCCTTCTTGGGTCACCATGGTGATCGTTCCACCCATAGCTTGTAGATCTGCATCAGAGATACTGACCTAAGGAGAGAGAACATAGTTATGTGTCAACATGTCGTGACTAACAAATATCTTGTTTTATTATAGATATTTTCCCGCCTTAATACATTTTTTGATTGACAGATTTAATAGTCCCCGGAACTTTCATGAATTTTAAAATGTTTGTGATGTCATCGCATTCCGTTACCTGCTGCTGTGTTCCGTCCTCCTGCGTAACCAAGGCAATGTGTTGCTGACCAATCATCTCCGAGTTATCCATCGGGACCTGCTCCGAGCCGGAGTCGTCGCCCCCGACAATCGTCGTGGTGTAGCTGACGTTCGGGTCATCGATGGCATCTGAATCGAGAGTAACACATTGAATTTGAGATGAAAAAAATCTATGTTGACGACTTTTCTGTTGATCCGCCATAATCCCGAAGATATTCCGTTTATTATTATTTATAATACAATAAAGCATTCCAATTTTCTGATTACTTTTTTCAATTTATCTGCATATAATGAGTCTGAATATTAACTATTATTGTATTTTATAATTGAGTTGTGTTGTTTGTGTGTCTTTTGCGGCTTTCACACCAGCGCTTTTCCCTTTCTAGCTCCGAGCTAGAGCTTTTCTGGTTCAGCTCCGGTTTCCCTTCTGTGCTCCCGCTCTGTTCACACCGCCCAGAGCCCGACTGGTGCAGCCGCTGCTGCGTCATGACGTCACCGTTTACATCGCTGATTTGCTCCCCAACGGCACTCACAACAACAACAACAACAACAACGGGGGACTGCGTCGGGTCGATGATCGTGTTGGTTTTAATCATACGAAGTCAGATTAAATAAAATAACGACTTCTCCAAGCTTATACTTTTCTCCAGAGTGCCGTGGTTCATTGTTTATTCATGTGTTTCAGCGGCACTTACCGACCGCTGCAGTGCTGGCTGCTCTTCCACGGGAGTTTATTCTCCGCTCCGGGTTAGCTAATACTTTAGAGCGGCCTCTCTAAATTATTCACTGTCTGACTGTCACACAAGCAGCTGATACATATCCCCAATTCCCCTTAAGTATGTGTGTCGGTCTGAATTGACGCTGTTTGGCATCACAACGCTGTTATTAAAGTGTCTCTGGTATAAAATGGGTTATGTTAGCATAGCAACCGAAGGTAAACTGACTACTTGCTATTGCTATCCTATTGTGGCATAAGCCGTTTTCTACAGGCACATTTTACCGGCGTATTTTTCATTATGATTCTACTTGTGATAGTCGGACACGACAACCTGTGCAGCCCATGTATTGATTCCATCCGATAGCTGCTATAATACAAAACAAAACGTCTGCCTCTCTCCACAATGGTCAATAACAGCGAACGGATGGTCAAAGTAAGGTGCAAATAAACAGAATCACACAAAGCCTGGTTAGTGTTGCCTGACTTTATAAAGTGTGTTTCTTTTTATAAATGTGTGGTTGCCTTCTAGTCACTTTGCTCAGCACTACTGCTTGTAGGCAGGCATGACGAGACTCTTCAGTCGACCCATGTTCAGGGGAGGTGGGTTTAGTTTCCTGCACGCCTCGACGACGTAAGTGACGCCGCCTCTTAGCTCCGAAGCTCTTGCCTCTAGACCGACAATTTTTTGGAGCTGGAAGTGAACCGGATTCCGGAGCTAAGAGGCGGCGCCGCTGCAGTGTGAACA